CGGCTGCTACCCCTCAGGAGTTTATGATGTTTCTTATTGCTATAAACTTTCCACTTAGCACTGCTTTCATTGTGTCCCATAAGGTTGAGCATGCTGTGTCTTCATTGTCACTGAATTTTATGAAATCTTTAATTTCTTTCCTATTTCATGACTGACCAGGTGGTCATTTAGTAAGGAGTTGTTGAATTTCCATGAGTGTGTAAGTTTTTCTTATTTCTATTGTTATTGAAATCCAGCATTAAGCCAGGGCGATCTGATAAGTTACAAAGTTGTTAATTAAATTTCCTTATATCAGTTTGTCACTGACTTTATGGACAACTTTAGAGAAGGGTCCACTAAATGCTGAGAAGTTATATTCTTTTCAGTATGGGTGAAAAGTTATGTAGATATCTTTTAGGTCCTTTTGCTTCATGACCTCTGCTAGTTTTCTTATTTTTTTTTATTTATTTTCTGATTAGATGAAGTTCCCATTGGTGATAGAAGGGTATTGAAATCTAGAGGACCCTAACTAAAATGTTCAATCCCCATCCTGAAAAGCAAAAAGGATGGACATCAGAAGAAAAAGAAAACAGGAAACAACCTAGGAAACTGCTACAGAGAGCCTCTGAAAGCCAGAAGAAGAAAACAGGAAACAACCTCGGAACCTGCCACAGAGAGCCTCTGAAAGCCTCTGCCATTCAGACTGTCAAAGCAGATGCTGAGCCTGATGGCCAACTGACTGGCAGAGTGAATGGAATTTTATGTAAGAAGTGGGAAATAGTAAGAGCTGGAGAGGACAGGAACTCCACAAGGAGAGCAACAGAACAAGATAATTTGAACACAGGGAACTTCCCAGAGACTCATACTCCAACCAAGGACTATCCATGGAGATAACCTAGAACCCTGACAATGCAGCCAATTCTGATGAGAACTAATAGACTAAGATCAGAAAGAAGGAGAGGAGGACCTCCCCTATCAGTGGACTTGGGGAGGGGCATGCATGCAAAAAGGGGGGAGGGGAGGGTAGGACTGGGAAGGGAGGAGGGAGGGGCTTATGGGGGATACAAAATGAATAAAATGTAATTAATAAAAGTTAAATAAAAAATTAAAAAAAATCTCCTACTACTAATGTGTAGGGATTAATGTGTGTTTTAAGATTTAATAACGTTTCTTTTAAAAAAGCATGTGCCTTTGTATTTGGGGCATGGGTGTTTATGATTGAGATGTCCTCTTGGTTGATTGTACCTTTGATGAGAATGAAGTGAATTTCCCCATCTCTTTTGATTAATTTTGGTTGGAGGTCTATTTTATTAGATATTAGAATGGCTACTCTGGCTTGTTTCTTTGGTTGGTTTGCTTAGAAAAACTTATTCCAGCCCTTTACTCTGAGACAAAGTCTAATTTTGTTACTAAGATGTATTTCTTGTATACAACAGAATGTTTTGTCTTGTTTAAGTATTCATTCTCTTAGTTTGTATCTTTTATTAAGAGAATTGAGTCAATTGATGTTGAGAGAGAATTAACAAAGAATAATTACTTCCTTTAATTTTAATGTTGTTGGTGGTAGTGTTTCTGTGCTTGTCTTCTTTTGGTTTTGTTGCAGATACTGTATTTTCTTGGGTTTTGTTAAACTCCAGAGGTGGGAATTTTTGTTCTACTATCTTTTGAAGGGCTGTGTTTGTGCATGAATATTGTTTAAATGTGATTTCGTCGTGAAATATATTCATTTTTTTCATCTATAGTGATTGAAAGTTTTCCTGGGTATAGTAGTCTGTACTGACATCTGTGTTCTCTTAGGGTCTGTATCACATCTTTCCAATCCTTTCTGGCTTTCTTAGTCTCTGTTGAGAACTCAGGTGACTCTGATCAGTCTGCCTTTATATGCTACTTGATCATTTTCTCTTGCAGCCTTTAATAGTTTTTCTTTGCTCTGTAATTTTAGTGTTTCAGTTATTGTGTGGCAGGAGAAACTTCTTTTTTTGGTCTAATCTATTTGGCATTCTGCAAGCCTCTTGTATGTTTAACGGCATTTCTTCCTTTAGGTTTGAGAAATTTTCTCCTATGGTTTTGTTAAAAATATTTCCAGGTCCTTGGGTTTAGGAGTCTTCTTTTCCTTCTATTCCTACTATTCTTATGTTTCATCTTTCATCTTGTTCTTGACTTGTTGGATGTTTTGTGTCAGGCATTTTTCTTTTCAATTTCATATTATCTTTGACAGATGTATCAATTTCTTTAATAGTATCTTTTTTGCCTGAGATCCTCTCCTCTATTTCTTATATCCTGTTGGTGATTCTTACCTCTGTAGGCTCCTGTTTTTTATCTAAGGTTTTCATCTCCAGGATTTTCTCAGTTTTTTTTTTTGTTTCGTTTTGTTTTTATTTCCATTTTTTCAGGCCTTGAACCATTTTATTTGTTGCACTTGGTTGAGTGTATTTTCCTATATGTCTTTGAAGGCCTCTATATGTTTGATTTTATTTTCCTGATTTTCTTTGAGGGATTTATTTGTTTCCCAGTTAAAGTCATCTATTATCTTCATAAACATAAATTTAATGTCACTTTTCTGGGTTTCAGCTGCATTAGGATATCGAGTGTTTGTTGTAGGTTCTGGTGGAGCCATATTGCCCTGTTTTATTTTATTTTATTATTTTTTTTTTTTGTGTGTGTGTGTGTGTGTGTGTGTGTGTTCCTATGCTGTCTTTTATCCCTCTTTTTGTCACTGGCCTTGGATGTTTATTCCTGTAGCCAGCTTGGATATTCAGACATGGTAGAAAAACCCTGCCTGGGTTGTGTGCTGAGAGCTAAATCTCTGCAAAAGACCAGTAGCTTTTCTCTTCTTGTGTTTCCCAGTTAGACCTATATGCAAGGGGATTAAGGTGTGTTTGTTTAGCTTGTTTAAATCTGAGGTCTAAAGGGTCTGCTCAGGGTAGCTGGTAGAGCTTGAATCTCTGAGTCTCTGGAATCTGGAGTCATCCTTGGCAGGATATCTGAGGCTGGATCTAAGCACAGTTTCTGGCTGCTGGCATCTTTTCCTCTTTCTGGGGAAGCATGAATGGGTGCTGGTATTTCAGAGTCAGCATTGCTTACAGTTCCTGGTCTCTGGGTAGATACTCAAATTCCATGGGTGCTGGGCTCCACCATACGAGAACTAGGTTTTGTTTTCTCCTATTATCTGGCTGTTCCCCACAGAGACACCAGTAAAAACATGTACAGAGGCTGGGATTGTGTTCCTGGTTTTCAGACACTTCATTGCCCAATGAAAAATAGGATAAATCTGGAGACAGGGGTTATGCTTTGCTGAAGTTGTGTTCAGTTAGAGGAAAGGTGCTGGGTAATCTTGTGTCCTTTTGATCCAGAAATCATCACGGGGATCAAGGAGTGTGTATCCGTAGATCCTAGAATACTTTCTTTCCAGAAACACAAAAGTTGGTGTTTTGGAGTCTGCAGCTGAGCTTCATGCTTAGTCCACAAAGTCGCTGCTCACTTGCTTCTCAGTTAGTATGCGCAGTATGCACTGCCATCTTGAAGTCATATATTATTAGCATAACAGCTCATATTCACATGCAAGTTAATAGATATCATATTTGTCTTTATAGGTGTGTATTGCCTCACTGAGGATTATTATTTTTCTAGTTACACTGATTTACCTGTGGATTTCATGATTTCGTTTGTTAATAGCTCATCAGTATTACATTTTATAAATTAACCAGTTTTTCTTTATCTCTTCATATGTTGAGGGACATCTAAGTTGTTTCCAATTTCTGCTTATTATGAATAGAGCAATAATAAATGTGATTGAAAAAGTGTTTCTGGGGGATCCAAGATGGTGGCACCTAGAAAACACTGTGTCTGAGAAGTAGATAGCAGTGACTGCACAGTGACAAACAGACCAAACTCTGGTCCCTAAAACATTAGCAATTGTATTTCTCAGGTGAGAGAAAACCTCACTGCCTTGGAAGCAATCAGGACAGGTCAACCAGCTAAACCATGGAAGAATTCCTGGAATCCAGCTGGCCCTGAGTTGTCAGGGCAGAACTATACACCTGTCTGCTCAGATCACCATCCCAGACTGAACTCTGGGCCCTACAACACCAGACACTGGGTTTTCCAGTCAAGAAAAAGCCCACTGTGAAGAAAGCAATAAGAGCCTATCAACCTCATTTCACCAACACAATTCCTGTAAAAGGTCTCGTCTCTGTCAGGCACTCAGCCACCAGCCCAGAGACCCAGAAGCTGAAAGACATACATGGTATATACTCACTTATAAGTGGATATTAGCCATATATTATAGGATAAACATACTAAAGTCTGTACACCAAAAGAAGCTAAGCAAGGAGGAAGACTCTGGGTAAGATGATCAATCCACATGCAGAAAGGCAAAGGGGATTGACATCAGAAAAGGGAGCAAACAGGACAGGAGCCTACCAAAGAAGGCCTCTGAAAGACTTTACCTTGCAAGGTATCAAAGGAGATTCTGAGATTCATAGCCAAACTTTGGGCGGAGTGAAAGGAATCTTAAGAAAGAAAGGGGAGATAGGAAGACCTGGAGGGGACAGGAGCTCCACAAAGAGTAGCTAACATCAAAAAATTCTGGGCACAGGGGTCTTTTCTGAGACTGATACTCCAACCAAGGACCATGCATGGAGGTAACCTAGAAACCCTAGGACCCCTGCACAGATGTAACCCATGGCAGCTAAGGCTCCAAGTGGATTTCCTAGTAATGGAAACAGGAACTGTCTTTGACATGAACTCTATGGCTGACTCTTTGGTTGCCTTGGCCTGATGGGGGAGCAGCCTTACCAGACCACAGAGGTAAACAATGCAGCCAGTTGTGATGAGACCTGATAGGCTAGGGTCAGATGGAAAGGGAGGAGGACCTCCCTATCAGTGGACTTGGGGAGGGGCATGGAAAAAGATAAGTGATGGAGGGTGGGATTGGAGGGGATGAGGGAGGGAGCTACAGATTGGATATCAAGTGAATAAACTGCAATTTATAAAAATATAAATAAAATTTTAAAAGTAGAAAAAGTATGGAACTCTTCACGAATATATGTGTCATGCTTGTGCAGGGGTCATTCTAATTCTCTTTATTGTTCCAGTTTTAGTATTTTAGCATATGTGCTGCCAAAGTGAGTGCTGAGCAAATATTCTTATTGAATAATGGGACATCTTTTTGGTATATGCTGCATCTGGAGGTAGTGCTGTATCTTGAAGTAGTGCTAGTCCCAATTTTTTGAAAAAGAGTCAGATGTAGAGGACCTAGATCCCCTACTCAGATGTACCTGATTGGCAGCTCAGTCTCCAAATGTTTTCCTCTGTAAGGGAAGAAAAGTCACTCTGTCATGAACTTAGTTGACTTCTCTTTTATCTCTTACCTCTGGTGATTTGTCCTTATCAGCCTACAGAGTAAGATCATACAGGCAGTCCTGATGAGATTTGACAAGCTATGGGCCCATGGCAAAGGAGGAGAATTCCCCTTTTCAGTGCAAGGGGATGGAGGAGAAGAGTAATGGGGAGACAGGGGGGATTTGAGGGAGGGGGCTTCAATCAGGATATGTAATGAATAAATTGTGAAAAATTAAAAATTAACAATAAAATTAAAGTTAAAATTAAAGAAAAAAATATGATTAAGCTTCCTTGGTGAAGTGTAGAACTAAATTTATATGTAGGTAAAAGGATAAATGTTTAGAATGTAGTCAGCAATTATGCTATAAAGTATTCGTTGTAGTTTCTTTTTCAAGATCCATGGCTTCACTAATCCTGGTTGGCTAAGTTTCCAGTAGTCATTATTTTCATCTTGTTGAACAGGACTTAAATCCAAACAGATTATATGCTTCCACCCAGGTATGTGTCACTACTGCACCATTATGGTTATTGCAATATGCTGGTTGTTTTTTATGGCTCATAGGCATAAGATTGTTTCTCTTCTTTAGAAGCTTGAATGGTGTCTTGTAATAGCATAAAAGTTAGTCTCCAGGAAGAAAGGTTTTAAGGACAGATCCAGTATGGGTCCTCTGGATCTTGTGTCTAATGTATGTAGTGTCTTCAACAACATGGTCTTACCTTTGATCTCTATAAAACAATCAAGGGCAATGGAATTACCTATAATTTTTGGGAGTCTTTTGGAATACCCTAACAATTCAAAAGTGGGATCCTTATTCCTGGCTTTGGGATTTGGATACATTGTCTTTTTGACTCTTGGAAGGAATATTGTTAGTCTAGATGGAAATTTTTCGTTTAAATTGTATATTGATATTCATATACACTCCTAGGTGCATTATACATATTTTAAGTATATAAACGATTGTATGATTTTTTTGTGACTTTTTCAGAATTCTTACCTTTATTTTATACTCCTCCTTCATTTCATTTTCCTCCCTCCTCCCTCCCTGGGGTCCTCCTCCTGATGTTTCTCCTCCCTTTCCCATCACTTGTTAAGAAAATGTCTTTTTTAAACAAATGGAGTTCATTACAGAAAGCCACATTGGATCAAAATGCAGAGTTGGAACTCAGTTCTAAATGATCCATCTATAACAAAACCATTCCTTGTAAGGCTCAGAGACCATTTCAGAAGGGGGAGCAAAAAAGATTGTAAGACCTGGAGGAACAGGAAGCTTGCTATGAAATTATGTCTCCAAAAGTTGTCAGAAGCTACACCTATGAAGTCTCATGACATGATTTCCTAAACATTACCTGAACAAGGATGATACAAATAGATGTGCTACCATGGATAGAGGAAAACACATGAAGCCTTAGCCCTAGACAAAGTATTACAGGCAAGTAAGAAATACTGAGAGCAGAAAGCATAGTTCTCCCCAGGGAAGAGTAGACAAATTGGTTATCTAATACAAAATAATCATTTCTTAAAACACACACACACACACACACACACACACTCACGCACATGCACACGCACACACACACACACACACACACACACACACACGTAATATCAATAGGTTCAGCAGGGTGCATTTATATATATATATATAGGAGTACACACACCAGGGGCTCCTGTCACCTCCAGGTCTTTCTATCTCCCCTTTCTTTCATAATATTCCATGCACTCTGCTCAAAGTTTGGTTGTGTGTTTCAGCCTCTGATTCTACACCTCAACCAGTAGTCTTTCAGAGGCCCTCTATTGTAGGTTCCTGATATTTTGGGTGACTTCTCCTGTTTCTGATGTCTATTACATTTGTCCTTCTGAATGAAGAATGAACATCTTCCCTAGAGTCTTCCTTGTTTTTTAGCTTCTTTCAGAATATAGATTTTTGTGTGTTTATCCTATGTTATATGTCTAATAGCCATTTATGAGTTAGTATATACCATGTGTGTGTTTCTGCTTCTTGGTAACCTCACTCAGGTTGATCTTTTCTAGTTCCATCCATTTGCCTGCAAATTTCATGATTTCCTTGTTTTTAATTTCTAGGTAATATTACATTGCATAAATGTGCCACAATTTCTGTATCCATTCCTCAGTTGAGGGATAACCAAGTTGTTTCCAGATTCTGGCTATTATGAATAAATCTGCTATGAATATAGTTGAACAAATGTCTTAACAAAAAGGACCTTAGGAAAGATGCTTAATCCTTATTCAGAAGGGCAAACAGGAAATACATTCGAAGCTGGAGAAGACAGTGAACAGGTCATGAGTCTCCTACAAAGGGCCTCTGAAATACTTTATTCAGCAGGTATCAATGCAGATGCTGAAATTCATAACTAAACTGTGGGCAGAGTGCAGAGAAACTTATGGAAGAAGGGGGAGATAGAAAGACCACGACAAGACAGGAGATCTACTAGGAGACCATCAGAGCCAAAAATTCATGGCCCATGGTACCCTGCAAAATCTGATGAATTAACTAAGGACCATGCATGGAGAGGAATTAGACCCCTTGCTCAGATGTAGCCGGTGGGCAGCTCAGTCTCCATGTGGGTACCCTAGTAAGGGGAATAGAGGTAGTCACTGGCATGAACTTTGTTGCCTACTTTTTGATCACCTCCCCTTGGTGAGGTAGCCTTACTAGGCCACAAAAAGAAGATGATCCATACAGTCTGATGAGACATGATAAACTTGGGTCAGACAGTAGGGAAAGAGGACCTTTCCTATCAGTGGAATAGAAAAGAGATATAGTGGGGAAAGAGGGAGGGAGGGTGCGACTACGAGGAAATGAGGGAGGGAGCCACAGCTGGGGTACAAAGTGAAAAAATTGTAATAAATAATAATAAAAAAGAAAAGAGAAGAAATGAGTAACAATCCTCAATAAGGACATACTCAAACAAGGTAAACTAATATGCTTCTACTTTTTAGACTCACTGGGGATAAAGACAGACCCCAACATTCCAGACACATTAAGGAAATAACATCACTCCCATAGAGTTGACTATTGTTACAACTGAGACAGCTTTTGGCAGCTACCTTACCTCTGTCACAGCCTTGAATTGCATCCTCATAGTTCCTCTAGGCTTAATTGAAATGCAGGTGGCTTTACTAGCCTAGGGTTTCATAGGACATATCACCTATGCAGCTCTCATAGACATTGCTTTAATGGGCTCTGAAGTGACTTTACACTTATAAACATATTCTGGATCCATGATGGAAGTGATAGTGTAATGAATTCTGAATTACTTCTATGATCACTATTTTTTTATACCATCACTTTTCATGTCCATTACAACTTCCATTTGATGACAGATTAATATGCTTATCAGATAGGCATATGGCCATATTTGGAGTTCTCATGTGAACACATATTGTATGCATTGCAATATGAACAGGTGGAGAGATTTCACATATTTATATTTTTTATCTACTTGAATAACAGTTTATATTTAAACAATTTCTGTTCTCTCATACTCTACTCAGAGAAGCCAAGACACTTCATATGACACATAAATATTTCTTCATTCAGAACTGATTTCTTTGGTCCTGAGGTCTATTTTCGAGAAAACATTATATCACTGTAACTTCAGTCAAGTAAGAAAAGTCTCTTTTTCTTTGACCAAATAATACATTTCTCATTTTCATAAAAGACTGCAATAGGATGGCTTATAACCATCAATCTTTAATCAATCTGACTACCACAAAGACATTCACTAAGACATTGGAGACATTGTCTACATCTCTGGTTTTCTCCTCAAACCTCAGCAGAATAAGCCTGTTCATATTAATGTAAGTAAACTTCTACCGTGAGCACCTGAAAACTCTGCTGGCTGTTACACATTACACAGTTCTTAAGCCATGCTATCTTTTCCAGTATTAGTTCCAATATTATAGAAAATTAGTATTTTCTATTTTCACTTCTTTGTACCTGTTTTGTTTTAGTTTCACATAAGCTAAAAAGTAAAAGACTAAAATAGAAGCAGATTTACAGCCTAATCAAGCATGGATTCTTTATAGATGTTTATTTTCACCTTATTTTCATAAAAATGATATGCAATAGCTTTGTAGATTTTTTTTTCAAAAAGCCTGGGTTTTAATTAGAGGGCTCTACCTAAAAAGGTAATGGCTTGCAAAGACCGAAACTTTTCAAACCCATTTATGATTAGAACTTTAGCATACAAAGTTTGAAGATACATAAACATTCAGGCCATATAACACAGATTGAATAAATATCTTTAGAAGAGTTACAGATACTGATTAAAATTCAAAGGGCAAAGCCTGAGTATAGAATTTGAGACACAGAAAATATTAATGGATGAAATAAATAGAGGATTAAAAAAAAGACACACTTGAGTATAGCAGCTATATATATTTAATTTAAAATCTTAATCATGTTTTCAAGTGTTGTTCCTTTCATGGAAGTATGTATCTGGGGGAGGAGTGAGCCTGTGAAGTTTGTAATATTTCCACTTAAGGATTCGTGATACCTATTCTGCTTTCTTTCCAAAGACCTTTTGTGTACAGCTCAGGCCATTGAGTCTTAGTTAGGGTTTTTATCATTGATATGAAACACCATGACTAAAAACAATTTGGAAGAAGAAACGTTTTATTTCATCTTATGCTTCCATATCATAGTCTATAGCTGAGGGAAATCAAGGAAAGAACTCAAAGAAGGTGAAATTGCTGTGTAACTAAGCTAACTGAAGAATGCCAAAAATAAGTAACTTAATTCTCAAATGAATTTGCA